CATAAAGTCACATCTCAACTCAAATTAAAAACTCGATCAGCGAACTAAACGGACCCTAAAATTAACGATTTATTTTATGCTTTACACCATGCAGGCATTGTTGGCTTGGACCTGTTTGATGAAATGCCGGAGCACAAGGCAACGATGAAACGTAGGAGGAGGTGGCATTGCCGCTTCATCGACCTGTCTACCGAACTCACCGGCGATAAAGAGTATTTTATTCCCAAATTATCCTTGGCGTATGTCATGGCCGGCTGCAGTTGTGTTGCCTAAACAACGGCAAGGCACGCATCTGTTTAAGAGTTTGGGAGCTCCAAGAGGATGACAACAACAATTGCTTATGGCGTCCGCAATTTATGCATCAATTTACGAACGAAGTTTATTCGTTTGACGTTGTGGCGTTCCACCCAAGTAATGCCAATTTCATCTTCTTGTTCTTTGACAATGCTATTTATCGATACAATAGGCAGACTCACAGGATGGAATTGATTCAAATGAGGTAAATTCAAATAGTGCTCGTTTCGTACTCGTACTTGTGCTTTTATCGTACTTTGCACCGTGGATCATTGGATTGGCGCATTGCATAGGTATTATTTGATTTTGAATATAACTTAGGCAATTAAAAAAAGATTTGTTGAGTTGAGGATGTTAATTTTCAAAACAATTAATATAAGCAACAAATATTATATTTTATTAAAGGTATGATATTATAAGTTAACGACATTTAGTTTTTGTTGATTGTTGCCATTGTGAAAGTGAAGAAAATTGATGAAAATTATTTGATTCTTCTTAGTGCCTTGATCTCTCTTTCATTATTGTTGGCGCCTCCCCCTCTGTTTCTGCTTTCTCTTAAGTTGAGTCGCAGAGCTCTCAATTTGGGTTAAACCAAACGAGTCCTTCATTGATGTCCTGGCCTGAGTTGGGCCGACCTTTTCACTTTTAAGGTCTACTCGAATATCTTCTTCAAACTGTTAAGATTGGACTGGGCAGTCCAAACTTTCAACTTTATTTATGAGATTAATTGTATCCATGAACTATGATTTTTCGTTGAATGTTTTAGCTTTTTTTTTCTTATTCTTAAAAGAGGCTTACATTGGCGGTTCTAATTGTAACTGAACCAACTATTTTCGAATGATTATCGGCCAGTTATCTTCTCCAAGCAGTCCAATCATTGTTCTCTCTTTTTGCAAAACTAAACCGCCGGCTCGGTCACTCTAAGGTGCAAAAACCACACATATCGAACTGTGAATGCTTATTTAACATAACATTGAAGGGATATCAAAGTTTTTATTAGAAATTAGTGCACGTGCCAGTTACAATAAGACGTGAATTTGACTATCATATTTATTATCTATTAGAGATCCAATTTTATGACTATATAAAGAGTTTAATTGAGGGAGTATAATATATTAACAAACTACAAATAATGAATATTTGATTGTTATTTGAACATAGCACAAAAAGATGGTAATTAATCTGCATGACAATGTTCTACATGAAATCTATGATCTACATCATTGGAAACAAAGTTACAAAACAGAAATTCGATATAAACTAATTTTAATTTTTTTTTATTAAGAGTGCTACTATTTGAGGTTTTAGTTTATAGAAAATGATAAAATAATCATTTTATCACATCATATAAACATTATTATTTAATTTGACAACTCTTTTAAAAGCCCCAAGTAAGAGAACATAGTAGATACACTAACAAAATTGTACGTAATATTATTCATCTTAACATATAGACCGCACTGTCTATTTTGATCAGGCAAGCCTTGTGAGTTCGGAAGCCACCTTTAGAACGTGATTCAAACATTAAATAATTTGATTACTTTTTCTTAAGCCCTAACTAAGATAAAACAATAAATAACAAGTAAAAAGTATAAAAAGTAAATGACATATATGAAAACACAAATTAAACTGTTTTTTTTTTCTTAAGCTTTAAGTAAGAGAAAACAACAAATAACGACAAGTAAAAAGTACAAAAGGTAAAGGGTATAGATAGAAACAAAATTTAAGTATTTTTTCTTAAGCTCTAAGTAAGATAAAGGAGAAAACAGTAGATAAGATAACAAGTAAAAAGTACAAAATGTGAAGGACATAAATAGAAATAAAAATTAAATCATTTTTTCTTAAGCTCTAAATAAGAGAAAATAGTAGATTGTTTAACAAGTAAGTAAAAAATATAAAGGGTAAAGGGCATAAACGAAAAAGAAAAATTAGTCGACAGCTACCTCATTTTATCGTCAGATTAATTTTTCAATAGTCAAATTTATAACAAGAGTAAATCTGCGTGACGCGTTCTAAATTTTTAATACGGACCTGCACAAATTTAACCGTTGAAAAATTAATCTAATGACTAAAAATAAGAGTCTCACTTGTAGACATTTTTAAGGTGTTCCACCGGATAATTTATGGTAGGCGCTTCCATGGATTATAAAAAATGATTAAAAAATAACGAAAACGACAACAAATAAATAAGGTGCCTATGCCTACCGTGTCCGAATCCACATTCTAAACGCAATAATAATATGTCCATTTGTCATCTTGATGGAACACAGAGCATATCTGAGCCCTTTAATTAGTCAATGGTAACTAACCTGTGTTTACAACTAATTTACTTCAATCATTTTATTCTACAACCTGGTTTGCGTTTAATTTCAATCTGTCATAATTCAATACATCATTTTTCTTCCTAATGAAATATCTCACTGTTCACAAAAGGGTTTCATGAAAACGTATTAACACTTCCAGGTTTGGTACACCTAACTTCTTGAATCACAAATATACCTTTGAAAAAAGAACAAAAAGATCAAGTTAACCAGTTCGTAAGAGTTGCTGATATTAACAAGAAACGATTCATGGTTCAATAATCCGATTCATCCCCATAACAACAAAAAATACATGAAATGGAGGGGAAAAGAATATAAATTACAATATTCAAACAATGGCTTGGCGCTTTGCCATTATCATGGACAAAATAGTTTGATTGCATAATAGTAAGTTCAATAACTAATTTACAATAATCTATTACATAGGAGAAAATTGGCCTCTCAACCCTTGACTCGGTTATAACCCACCCCCACCACAAAACATTTATAAATAAATAAAAATGTAAGAAAAAGGACACTGTGCAGGGCATATTTTTGTGCCCTTTCTGTCACATTTGTTTATATTGCTAAAGTAACGAGAGGCAAGAGGAAGAAAGGTAAATTTTGAGAAAAAGAAACGAAAAAAGCAAAAAGGGAAAAATCGGATAAAGAAAATCAAAATGCTGATGAATGTTTTACAAAAGCAACTACCAAACTCAAAGCTGCCCTCCTCGTAAGCCAACTGAAAGGCGGTGAAGATGGGGCCCACATTGTGACATTCTTTCAACCTCCAATGGTAATATACAGTATCTCCTTCCTCTTGGCGATGGAAAGCTATAAAACTAATTCATCACCTTTTGTTGATCTGCCCCTTCTTTGTTTGCTTTCTGAATAGTGTCGTTTACACTAGTGGCTCGGAACTGCTTTCGGTGCCAACCACATTCATGACTTGAATCATAAAACCACCTTCGGAGCCCCTTCTGGCTGATTCTTGAAAACAACTTAAGAGCCATTCACTGCCATCTCCGGTGAGGATTTCGGGGGTATTAAGGCACAATCCTCTCCACCCAACTGCCTGTTTTCCGAAGTGCCATGCAGGAGCTCAGAACAGCTCCTAGAAGCAGCCAGTTCGTTCTCTACATGATTCTCGTCAGAGCTGATGCTGTTATCAGGACACCCTCTGGAAACGGCACAATCATTCTCCTGATGATTTTCTTCACCGGAGCTCTTGTGCTCATCAGCTGTGCAAGAAGTTGCATTCACCATGTTTCCAGTTTTGTTACCCGGTAGCACTGCCTGGCTAAGTGTCGTACACAATGCAGCAAACACATTATTATCTTTTGATTTCACATTTTTACCAAAACGCTGCCTCTTTACTTGCTCAGGTTCCTTATCCTTCGAACCCAATTTCCGCTTCAACCTAAAGGAATCTATTATAGTTCCTTCATCTTCATCCGTATCAGGTTGTTTCCTTAATGGTGGTTTGTAGTCTTCATCATCCTCATCATCATCGTAGTCAACCAGCCCACCAGATCTTGGACTAAAAGAAGTGCATACACTAATTATATTGGAAAAACGTTATGCAAAATATAATTTTTCTTTGTTTTTAGGTATATAATACAATACCTTGAGGCTGTGTAGCTTACAGCCTCTCCATTGGATAAAACAGGTTGAGCTTGGCCTTTTTCGGTATTATTTGACATGGATGCCGATGCTGTGTCCTCTTCGTCACTGATTACATGAGACCATATTTAGCAGCCATGGTATAAAAAAAATCCAAGCAAGTTCCACTCATAATTACTTAAAACAGAATCCACACCTGTCCTCGTTGAAATACTCTTCCTCTTCTTTCTCCAAAGCGCGCTCATCATTTCTCTTTCTAGGCTCTGACACAGTAACAGTGCTTCTTGCTCCACAAGGCTCTTGACACTGTAGAAAAGCTATCAGTCAAAGCACTAAATCTAGTAGCGGAAGAAACCAAAAAGAGAAAAGAGAATACCTGCTCATATTTTACTTTTAGAGAGTGGATTGGTGCCAAATACTCAAATTTGACCAACTCGTTCCAAAATGAATCCACTATATGTTTTAGCAATGATTTCATGTTTTCCTGCGTAGAACAAAAAGTGGAATTAGAATATAGTCATGCACACTTCAAGAGCCAAAGACACAAATGAAAAAGAGTGGCACCTTTCGGATGAACTCAAAAAGCTCTAGAATGGCAGAGTTAAGTAAGTTATAACGATGGCCATTACGAACAAAGGCATCTACAATTGGCTTGAAAAGGTTGTTCTTAACAAAGTGATTTATCAAATGCTCTTCCTGCAGATTCAGACATGGTTTCAATGCATTAAAAAACATGCAGCAACGGTTAAAGGATTGTTTTCCATTGTATTAACTTTCGAAGACCAAAATGAACTCACTCACCCAACGAGTGAGGGTAGCGCGGACAAATCGCACAGCAGCAACCACCAAGTATCTTTCCCTTCTTCGTGTTAGAAACAAAACTTTATCTATCATATTATTTAGAAGAAAGTTACACCTGAAAAAATGAGACGTGCAAGCATTTTCATGTTAAGAGAATAGTAATAGTCACAAATTCATTTCTGAAGGATTGCAGCAGAGGAGAATTCAAATCATTACTTTATTCTATGAGGATGGTGCAGAACACAAAAGCATAGCAATTCACATATGTTTGTCAAAATTTCAGGCTTCACAACAATCTGATTTTCAACTCTTCCACCAGATCCCGAAGATTTACCAAGTGATCGAGCAATGTCTTCTGAGGGACATGCTGCTGTTATGACATCAATTAATTGACCCAAATGCTTCTCATAGAAAATCTCAATAATCGCATCTCTCTGCAACAAAATAAACAAACCAAAAGGCTTAACAACAAAATACACAGATAAATATTTTAACAAAAATAGAAAACAATTCCATCTTTACATGAAAGTTTTACTAACAAGTTTTCCAAAAATTCAGCAGAAACATAATAAACTACGAATCAAGATTCAAAACATTACACCTACATAAATAAACTCAAATATGCTGCAGAACCCAACTACAAAATCGTCTCAGCTTAAGAAGAAATCCAGGTTTTACAATAATAAGCAACTAATTAACAGCTAAACAATATTTATCAACAATAAATCCATAATAACCCACTATGTATTCATTCAAAAATAATAATAATAACCCACTACATATCTGTGACATTCAATCATGAACACAATTACATGAGATCCTAAGAATTTCCCTCCAACTCAAAATCGGAGAAAGATGGAGAAAGGCAAGAACCCTGCCCATGTAATATAAGACGTTTTAAATGGCAGTATTAACAAGGTAATTCAAGAACAAATAAATAATAAAAATTCATCAAATAGTTTCAAATAGTATGATGGAATAAGAGTTCAGACTACGAAAAAATCAGGTACCAAATTCTAGTAGCAATACATCCAAAATGCAAAAGCTTTCCATAAAGGAAACCAGAAGACACAAGAAGAAAAGATAAGGAAAAGGTTTACAAGATCCAAGAAAGACAAGGGAGATCTAAAACTTCAAAGAGAGATATCCCATGGTATATGTTGTTGGAGACTCGCTTTTATGAACCAATTAACTTAAAGAGCAGATAAGTACACAGCAAATAATTACGGGCATCAACACAAATACTCCAAATGTAGACATAAAGTTACAACCTAGTCAAAAATTCAAATAACGAACAGAAAAAAATGTACAAACAGAGTGAGTAGAAAAGGATTATGTAAAAATAAATTTAAAAGAAAAGGACCTGAGCTCCTGACAACGTAAATGAATCTAAAAGACTACGAAGAATCTCAAGAAACTGGCAGTGCATGTCGTCCCCAAAATCTGTTAGCATTCCTTTAACCTGTAAGACAGCCATAAATATGTTAAGATAGCCTGAGATACATGCAATCTTCCTCCAAGTAATTGCAGTCGTTCTTAATTTAAATTGTAACAGTGGTCCTGCTCTCTTTTCATTACAAGTGTCTAGCAGGTGTAATAATGTCAACGCACATAATCAGGAGAGGTTAATAACATAATAAGGATATATACTATGCTGGATTGGTATAATTTTGTATTAATTTGTTTTGGAAAATGTGACTAGGCAACTTTTGGATAATACTTCATATAATTCTTTCAAGTACACACAAATTAAAGAGAGAAAAAGAAAATTTTGAATGTGTGCAGTTCTTCTCTCTCCGTTTGGTAGAGATGGAGAGGAGGAGAGATGGAGAATGTGAGGGATGGGGAGGATTATAATAATCCTTTGTGTTGTGTGGCAGGAGGGAGGGAGAGTTAAAAGGATGGATGAATGAATGTTTGTTTATTTACTATGTTGTCCTTTTTACCAATTTCTTACTAAACTTTTTAAGGATAAAATTGTCTTTTCAAAGCTTTAATGGGTGGACTGCATGGATCCTTCCATAAGAGGAGGGATGCAAAATGGTAAGCCCGGGTGGAGAGAGTCTCCCTCCATCTCTCCTCCCCCTCCCCTTCCAACCAAACAAGAGATTGAGACTCTCCCTCCATCTCTCCCTCCTACCAAACATACAAGTCCAAGACGGCAAGACTTGTTCTTTCACAAGAAAGCATCATCTCCTAAGATCTGAGTTAAAAATCGAGTATCCAATTATGCAAATCTTCTCCTTTCGAAGCAATCCCCAAGTCCTATAATCTAAAATTTTGCTTATACAACCATTTATTATCCTTTATCATTTAAAGGCTAGTAGGATTCAAGTGAGTGTAAGAGTCGCATGATTCTCTAGGAGTTTTGTTAGCAAGCACGGCAGTTCCAGTGCACATACGAACTAACCACAAAGAGACGAGCGAAACTTTGATCAAGTCCATACCAGAAGTCCAAGAAGTGGAATGCCTTCTTGACGAACAACATACGAACGCAGAAGGTTCGGATCCTGATTTAAGAAAAGAATGAGGATATCTGTCCTGCATCAATGATAACTAATTCTGTTAGAACTAATACCAAATCAATGAAAACTAAAATACAAAGAATCACAGGGATGAACAGAGAAGTAAGACACTTATCAGTCACCATTACCCAGTTAATACAAGCCTTTTGTCTTGACTCTGCAGAGCATCAGTGATGATGTCAAAGATGCCTTCAGTCACAAGATCCCTGCAGAAATTTACTTCCAAATCTTAATAAGCAAGAAAATTCCATAAGCAGAAGAAAACATAAAACCTGATATTATCTTCACAGCACAGTGATTATACTTTAGCTACCACAAGTTCAAGAGAAAAGGATGAATTAACGCAATTCACGTCAGAATCGAGTATCTCAGTAATAGCATACCGAAAGAGCCGGAGCTGCTGTACCATCTGCAGGCTCTTGCTTAAACTACAAAACTCATGCACAAAGTACACCTAAATTTTGGCCCCCAAGAAAGGAAAATGATGTCAATACTTATCTTATATACTATACATGGCATTGAATGCAAGAAATAAATAATCAATACTTTGTATTATTTTATATAACAGTACAAACTGAATGCGACAAATAAATGATGTTTAGAGAAATCAATAATTACCAAATTTTTTTTAGATTCTGCAGAGGTGGAGGGTGACCTCAACCTAGCGAACAATTCCTGGATAAAGGTACTGTCATCCTTTAATAAAGAAACAACCTACAAAAGAAAAACATTAAGAGTTAAAAACATCCCAAAACAGGTAGATAAATTAATTGTATAATGATAACCTTAATAGATCAGTTGTAAAATCTTACAATGGCATTGTTTGCATGAATAATGGAGTTGAGATTTGCAACAGTGGCCTCATCCAATACTCTGGCCAAAATGACATCCTAAAAAAGTAATACTAAGTAAGACCAAGAATAATGATTATAAACAACCAAAAAACAGATGATAAAAAAAAACGATTCTCACCTTTAGATAACCAACTCTATATGTCTGATGTATCTTTGAGAGGACCAGAGGATCTTTTATTGGTATAGCCTAAAAATGTGAATGTACAAATACACATTTAAGCAGCAAACAACAAGAACTAAAATAACTAGATGACATCCAGCCTCCTTAGCCTTCAACCCTCAACCACTAATACTATCATCCATCGCAAAATAGAATAACAATAAGTTCCCAAGGTTACCTCCTTAAAAACAACGTGCTCTTTTAAGAAATTGCGGTGATGTTGAACATGAGAAACTTCAGGATCGTCTGCAAGCCACATTTAAAGTAATCATCGAATAAACGGTACAGAACAAAGATCAAACTATCAACCCAGCTACACTAAAAGCATTTCTTACATCTACTAAAAAAAAAAAATTGAAAAGTTAAAACAGTTGAACAAATTACAAAGAAACGTTCTTGGAATATCTTCCAGGGAGGGGGAGGAGAGGAGGGAGGGAGGGAGAGCATGCTAAATTATTCAATTATGCCAAGTTATTAACACAATCTTCAAAATAAAAGTCAGATTTTTTTTTTTTTTTTGCAGAATAAAAATTCAGGATAATTAGGCCTTCGTTTCATTGATTCGAATCACAATTCAAGTTTCTGCTGTAGTATTTTCTCTCACAAAAATTCAAATTCACTTTTTGTGCTACAGGATTTTCTCACATAAATTCACTTTTCAACTTGAGTTGCAAACTCGAACCAACAAAACGAACAAGACCTTAGTGTCATTAAATTTTTAAAATGCAGATATCCTTAGATAATAAGTTTTCTAATATAATCTGAAGACATAAAAACAGAACTTACACTCGAGGCAACCAATAATATCCATGATCAATTCATCACTGAATATCTTCTCAAAGATCTGAGGACTGTTAAGCATAACTGTAGAGAAACAACACACACATCAGTTAGTACCAATAAAACATACAAATGTTTGCAGCGTCTTAATAGCATATGGGAGAGTATAGCACTTACTGATTCCCCTTGCTATTTTATATATCATGTGTAGACCATCAATATTTTCTAAGTCCTCGCAGATTCTAAATAGTTCCATCAGCTTTCGAAAAAAATCTTGCTGCATTCACATTGAGTTGCATCAGAACTTGAAAACAATAATCCATATAAACACAATAATAGGAAAACCACAAACTTGACCACCTGACACAAACGTAAAACCAGGCAAAAAAAGCAGGCAGGACCACAAACTCATTAATAAGACAAGATAGTGAGTCTGCAGAATAGGGAAGCATGTATAAGGCTTACAAGCTTACATCATTTAAAATAAGTTCAGTCAATCGCATCTGATCAGCAAGACCACACTCAACCAAAGTCTGCAAAAGAATCAGAAGCATTGTTTCAGGTATAAAGAAACAGATTCAATATAAAATTAATGTGATTAGAAAATCCAGTCAATATGGTAAAATGAGCTCTCGCCATCATAGCTTGGCCTATCAATGTGTGTTACATTCTATTTACTTCTATCGCAAACCAAATGAGTTATTTCCACCACCGCTTGGCCATAAATATATATACCGTAAATATGTCACGTTATCTTTATTTTGATCATACAAACCTGGAAAAAGATGGAAATCCATGTCTTATATTTCCAAGAAATAGGGAAAGCAGGTGCAACAACCAACTCCATTATGTAAGGTAAAAAAACTGGAGAAAGATTGAAACTTGAATTATGTAACTAGTTTTTCGTGAGCAATATCTTAAAGCCAATAAAATGGAGAAGTTTATGTTAAGAAATGGTGTTAATGGACTTCCCAAAAGTAAAAATAATACAACCATGATGCAATGACATTCTCCACATAAAGAAAGATTAATAAAAAGGAACATCATGTTTTCATTATCATCTCCTCCTCCCTTTCTCTTGAAAAAAGAAATCCCCAAACTCTAAAAGAAGCAAAAGAATCTGGTAACCTTTGTTCAATGAAAAATGCTTCCTCGACCAACTCAGCTCAGACCATCAATCATTAAATTTCTACGCTTTCTACGCTTTCTAGGACAACCATAGTGAAGGGCTCAAACGAATAAAGAAGCATCCACGACTACTAAGTAGAAGTTCAATATTAAAAAAAAAAGGCTTAAGATAAAGCTTAAAAGAAATTACAACGAACCATCTAAAAAACATTCAAAGTTCAAAAAACAAAAAATAAAATAAAATATTAACAGACACAAATATCCAATCAACCACTTTACCTTACCTTTAGTATTAAAGGGAGTGTAGATAGCTCGACTGCAGGCAGCTCCCTCAACTCACTGTTTGCACCAAACGTATCGTCTACACAAAATATAAAATCAATTGTTCATCAAAAAGGAGTAATTGCAGTATACTCTTCACTGATGGAAAAATGCACACACTTACTGTTAAGAGAACTGAAATTCAAATTTCTTTGCACACTGCAGATATGGTCCCTAAATAAAAGGACAACAATGATGAGTAGAAAAAATTATTAAAAGAAGAAAAAAAAGAGGGATGGATATTGGAGAAGAAAGACAAGAAAGGAAATAAAATTTATGATATAGAATAGACTGAAAGAGCAAAGGTGAGAATTATCCGGTAGTTACCATATGTAAGAGCAACCTGTTCCCTCCTGAAAGCTAAGAGCTACTTCTGTGGAAAACTCTGGATCCCTCCATGAAATAATTGTGTCTTCAAAAAAATTCAAAGGGAATAACTCAAATCAAAACCATGAAGACATCGTGTAAGCAATGAAAGGAAACAAAGCATCAGTCGACAAACAAACTACCTTCTTGCTTTCTATAAATGTCAGATGCACTGATGCGGTGCAGAAGTAACGTCTCATGGTCTTCTTCATCGAAGACAAATAAACCGGGCTCATCTGATCGCTGCATAATATTGATGGTTCCATTAGATCAAAAACAAAGTCAATTTAAAGCAACCACCAAAAGAATCAACTTTAAAGAAGGATTAATAGATTACTAATTAAATATTAAAGAGTCTCTATTGGACAACTTCAAGCCAAAACAAGGAGAACAGACCTCCAAATAGTCAACAGTGACATGCCCAGTTCCTTGATCGTCCCATTTCCCATCTTCACTCAAACGATAGACCTTAACACGCTGAAATTTGTATTCAAAAAATAAATGTTAAACAGGGGAAGAATAATACGCAAAGAACTAAAAGTTAAAATGCACATGCACCTAACAGATTGAAGGTCTTATTACACTTAATCGAGCTATGAGCATACCAAAATGCAACAAAAAAATCATAATGAATTATTATATGAACCTAAAATATTCACAGCTACATTGTGGGAGAAAAAATAAATGCTGAGCAACAACTTAATGCGAGTAATAAAAACGAACATGTTTGTCCTATCTTATTAGTTACTAAAACACAACAGGACTTTTAATCACAAATAATATAGAAACCTTGCGTTTAAAGACAAAAGGCATAATTATCTACATTACTACATGAAGCAGAAGAGAGATTTTCACCAAACAGACTCATTTCAGTACCAAGAACAATGAGAACTCCCACGATTAATCAATCTACACTATGTCACATAATTTTCACCATGGTAAACCTGACATATCCTAGTTATTCCTCCAAAGAAGTTTATGAAGTGCAAGCATTAAGACCTTATAAATTCGAAATTAATAAAAACAATTCCCCCCAAGATTAAAACCTTTGGTTACTTGGCACAAATAGCCTCTGGCCCAAACAGATAGATAAATGTCTGCATCATGCATTTGAAGACGCACAAATATAAGCTTGCATCAATATAGAAAATAGAAATGAGAAGAATGCACTGAGAAAAATATACTTTCATCAGTGAAGGATGTGAAGCACTGAAAAATTAGACACAGACGCAACAGCACAAAAGTGTGGGAGATATTCATATACAACAGAAAATTCTTATCATAAGAAACTACAAGAGTATTAAACAGTAGTCTTATTTATGTTCTCAGCACGATAAATCTTTACAAACAAATCATGTGTCTAATTAAGGAGCCCAAAAGCAAAGTATTCAAGCATAATGTATTGGTATTTCAAAATTTACCAAATACAAAAGAATAGCAGTAATTAGTATATAAATAACTAATAAGTTAGAAAGTAGAAAGGGAAGAATAACTGTGTGATTACTCTATGTCAGCAGTTGCCCTTTACAAGAAAAAGTGCTTTTAAAAGACAACTATCCAGACTATGAAGCAATAATCCAGCACCGCAATAAGAAAACTACCAAGTGTATGCCAACAAAATGAAAGAAGACCGACAACGAACAGAAAAAAAGTATGTAAGAAAACCAATTATAACCAAACTCAAGCTCCACTTCCTTAACTACCAAGTTCTAAGACAAACCTTCAAAGAACAATTTCCAGCAGCAAGTCTCAGGAGTGTTACATGCGAAAACTACAAGATTCCATTTCCTTCACATGCCAACTCATCCAAAACCAAATTCCTTCGACATATAGGAAACACAAAATTCAAAAAAATGCAATAATACTTGTTACTATTAATACAATATCTGAACTCTGAAGTTTGAAAATTTCCATACAAGTTGATGGCTAACGTCGCAGTAATTTGTCATACACTTTAACATTAGTTGTTAGGAACGTCGAGGAGCGTATACAGTTTAAGTGTATAACAAAGTACTGCTGAGTGATACGTTAGCCATCAACTTGTATGAAAATTTTCACTTCAGATATTGTATTAATAGTAACAAACTTTCCTTAGTTGAAGGATAACGATGTATTGCAGCATATTCTTATCTACCTTCATAGGACAAAATATCATCGACACGAACACAAACCACAAGTTTGCAATAAAAGCAACAACATAAATTCACCAGCTTCCACGTACAATTCAACCAAAATTATTTATCTTATTTAATTGATGGCAGAAAAAAAAAACATGGAACCTCAAGAAACACAACCAAAAGCAATCTGCTTACACCAAAAAGCCAAAAGAACTGAATCACGAATTCTAAGCCTCGCCCTAAAAACTGAATTATAAATTCATGACCTCTCACAATTTCAACAAACATAAAACAAAACCAATAATTAAGACCTTAAAAGGCAAACCTAAGGCTTCAAAATCAACCACAAGACGGCAACTTCGAAAATTAATCTAATTCTAGAGCAAAACAATCGAAGCTTTCAATTGAAGTAACGCCAAACTTACCTGCATCGAGCTAGCGCTGGCCTGTGATTTCTCCGGCGCGCCCATTACAGTTCCTCCGTGTGCGATTCCAATTTCTGACCTAGAATTCAGAACGCGATTGGAATCAAAAGCGTGGAGGCCTCGAGGAACGTTCGCGAATTAGGGTTTCCGAGGGCGAGCCGAAAGAGAGAGGAACGGGTAAAAAAACAGTAAGGGGGTTATTGTTTGGAGGCCGAATAGAAAACCCTAACCGCCATTGACGTCGCAGTGTTGAAGCTCTAGACTCCCTCTTTCTCTCTCTAGACTCCCTCTCTCTCTCTCTCTCTCTCTCTAGACTCCCTCTCTCTCTCTCTCTCTCTCTCTAGACTCCCTCTCTCTCTCTCTCTCTCTCTCTAGACTCCCTCTCTCTCTCTCCTCTTTTTATTCTTCTGTGCAAGTGTCTCGGCCGCGGCTTTCGACAAAGGGAGAAAAGTAGAGAACTATTACCCATATGGGAAGCTGCTGAAATTTCACAAATACCCTCTCTTCTTTCGCTTAAATACCATTACGCCATTGGAAATCCCCGTATATCCCACGCGCTTTCTTTTCGCGATCAAACAAACATCACGAGATGGGGGGAAGTGGGTCCCTCACCCGCTAGTCCCTGAAACACACGCACGGTCGCTCCTGATTGGCTCCGTGACTAAGCAAAACGATTTGAACACGTGTATCTACTCGTTAACAACTGTTGACGAGGACACGAAAGTTCACACCAATCAGAAACCACCACGCGTGGCGTCGTTTTGAGGTAGCACCGAAAGGTACTCAACCCAGGAGTGTGATTTTAGTACGGCTGGCTTCTTTTGTGGGGATTTGGATTGTCTTTGAAAGAGAGAATAAAATTAGATAAATGACGTGGCGGGGTTTGGTTGGTGGATGAAAGAGGAAGATTTAAGTGCATGAAGATACTAATTACTGTCACTTTTTGCGTTGTCTGACCGTCCTAGGCTGATTAAAACCGACACGTGCCGACCACGTGAGATTTTGAGACCCGCAGGTGTCAAGTACGCTTTGCAGTTGGTGTTCGTGTAACTGTTTTTTTTAAATAAATAAAAAAATGATTTTGATAATCAATTGGATGGTTCATTTGTTATGAGGATTTAAATTAAGATGATTCTAGTTTTAATTTTAAAATTATAATTATAATTCATATTTTTTGGTTTAAATTATGGTTATGAAACTAGAATTAAAATTAGGGGTTTAAATCATTCAAAATTAAAGGGTGGGTGGTTTTAGAATAATTGGTGATTCATGGTTTAAAACATTACATCAGGATTCAAACATTGAATCAGAACTATCCAAATCAAACACTGATTCTGGGTGAGTCAAATTAGAACCACTTTTTACTTTTTGTAAATAAACACTGGTTTAAACCTAAAATCATGATTCCGGGTTCATAATCCTTATACCAAACAGCCACGAATTGATTAGAAAAATGATTGAGCATTTTCATTTGAAATTATCAGTGGAACCAGTTTTTATTTGTAGTTATCTTTGTTGATTTGAAATGAAATTTTTCCTTTTATAAAGGTCACTGTTTATACAATTCACTTTTTATTTGTGCATGGTGTTTAAATCATCAGCGTCGTTAAAGTATTTTTTTATTTTATTATTTTATCTACTTTTTAAGTAGATAGATAGACACATGTACATAAGATGGTTGAGTTAAGATTATTAATCACAGCACTAAGATTTCGGCTTGATGAGGATTAATATTGTTATTCTTAAACCTTTCTGCTAACAAGTTTTTATTACAAACGTGCTAATAAAAAAAAATGTAAGAACAATACTTATTGTATAGCGCTTATTTTATACGGCACAGCAAGTTTTATCGTTGTGTTGATTCGCTATTATAATATATGGTGAATGATAGAGCAACGTGAAAATTGGAATTACATTAACTTGTCTTATGTAGATGTTTATTGCTGCATAATTATTCGTTCAGTTCGCTGATTCGAGTTTTTAATTCGAGTTGAGATGTGATTTTATGTGAGAGCTTTTTACTGTAACAAAAAAGTTAGATGTGACTGTTTGTGAGAGCTTTTCACTGTAATAAAACTCGAATTCTAAACTCAAATCAGTGAAATAAAAGAGGCATTGACTTGCTTTATTCCATTTTGACGGGATATGTGTTATCTACTCAATACTTTTGCCTCCCGATATTGTTATAATAGCACGTGTTCAAAGTCCTTACCATGTGTTACTAGTAAGTGTAAATACATGTTCCATCGATCTCTACTTGTACTTTGCTTTGAAGTCCTTGTTCTATGTTGAATTGTTCATTGAATCAAAGCCCTTGCCTTTTGTAGCAATACCTTCCTCAATTACGACATTGAAATAGAAGCAAGAATTGCGGGCCATACATTTAAAACATGTTTTTTAAGAATGTGTTTGGTTGGAGGGAGAGATAGAGGGATACGGCTAATCACTATTTAATTGCAGTGACCAAGCCATGATTTTTTATAGGAGGCTAGTAATTACAATAAGAATTTAAAAAGTATAAGATTGCAGTTTTAATTTTTTAGATGGGATTTTGTTCAATTATCTAAAAATATTCTTATGTAAATATAGGAAAAACAAAGAAAGAAAGAAAGAAAATTGAGCCTCCTAGTCATTATGTAGCTACGTCCCTATTTAGAGCCCGTTTGGTTGGAGGATTCGTTTTCTAATTCGAATCATGATTCATGATTTGTTACAGTATTTTTTTTCATAAAAAATACACGTAAATCGAAAATGATTCTAATCCATGAACCAAACGGGCTCTTAATTGGACGGAGGAGAAGAATGAAAGGAGAGATTGTGGGATGAGTTCTCCTCTTGAGCTCACAAATTGCATCCTTCTATTTATGGGAGGATTCATGAAATCCATCTAAATTATATTCAAAAAGATTTTTTTATCCTTGAAAAAAAACTATTGATAAATAATAAAAAGGGTAATATAGTAATTTAACAACTATACATTCATCAATCATTTCAATGGTTCATATTTCTTACAAAAACAACATAAAGAAGAATTACCGTAATACTCTTTATCTTTTATATTCTACATTCTTTCAATTATCTCCATCTTTTTACTCTCCATTCCTCGTGCTAATTGGAGCATAAATGTTGCACGTTTCAAGTGGAGACATTACACAAGTTATACAATAAAGATTGATAGCACATTGAATTTGCCACTTACAATGTAATTGGTGAAAGGTTTATGATCTAGTTATAGTTTTTTACGTTAGACCAAAATCCATCATCTACGGATTAACACTACCTAGCATGTTTGTCTCGCCCTATCTCTTCGACCTTCACCTACAACATTTCCTGTCACCAAGTGCCAAGTAAGCAAAGAGCAAAGAGTAACGAAGAGAGAGAGAAAATCGAAAGAGGGTGGTTTATCAGCCGCACTTTGATATCTCCGTCTCTTCTCTCTCCTCCTTCCCTCTTAACGGACTCTTCGAGGCCTTCTTCTTCTTCTTCTTCTTCTTCTCCATTCTCATTGCAATTTACAATAACACATTCTCAAGCCCTAAGATCTCTCACTGTCTCTCTCTCTTTCCTTCTCTCTCTCTAAAAATGCAGGCATCGCTCTCTCTCTCCGTCGCCTCCCATGCCTCCCCGGCGGCCCTTGCCAGATCAAATCACTCCTCCGCCAGCTTCGCTCCTGTGAATCTCCGATTCTGCGGCCTTAGAAGGGAGGCCTTTGGATTCTCCGATCTCAAGCAGTCGGAATCGCGCCGAGTTTGTCCGTCCAGCGCGAGGAGGTGGAAGGCCGCCGTGTCGGCTTTGGCGTCCGACAATGGAAGCGCTCCGAAGTCGTTCGACTACGACTTGCTCATCATTGGCGCCGGCGTCGGCGGCCATGGAGCTGCGCTTCACGCCGTTGAGAAGGTACGCTTTGATTCATTTCGTTTTGGTTCGTTTTCGCGAGGAAAATGTGGCTTTGTGCTCGTGATATTCTTTCTTTCGGAATGTAATTTTCTTACGTTAATTAGCCGTAAACCAGATATTTTTAGCTCAGATCGTGTTTTAATTCTTTCAAAATTTATACTTTGTAATTTGTGATTCAGATTAGCTCAATGCTATTGTAAGTGATTAGCACAAACTCTAGTTGTAAAGATCATGCTTTTGAATTGCTAATTAATTTTCTATAAGAAGGTTTCTACTTGGTTGTATGTAAAGATGAACGAGATATTTTTATCTCAGATCGTGTTTTCTTTTTTGGCTAACTTAAGTTATTTCTTCCCTTCTGATAGCTGATTGATTTAATTAGAAAAATTTTACGTTATTGAGCTAATTTTTGGCTCGTCTGTATGTCGTTACTTTGCTTAAGATCATGTTATGGTGCCTTGGTACTATTCTTGACTAAATAGTAGTTTAAGTGAGGACTTGTGATAATTGATTTGCACAAACACTCAGGGAGTGTTAATAACTTAAAGATCATGCTATTAACTTGGTGAACTATTTTTTTTTTCCGGTAGGAAGGGTACTATGGAAGCTACCTACCTATTGTTGCGAGTTGTAAAAACTGAAAACAAAAATACTATTAATTACAGTTTTTTCTATATGGTTTTCATGTGCTGAACTAACTTCAACAAAATAATTTCAGGGTCTGAAAACTGCCATTGTTGAGGGAGATGTTGTGGGGGGAACGTGTGTAAACAGAGGATGCGTGCCATCTAAAGCTCTTCTTGCTGTTAGTGGTCGGATGCGTGAGTTTCAGACTGAGCATCACTTGAAGGCCTTGGGCTTGCAGGTACCCAGATTACATTACGATTTTCCAGAAATTTTGCAGTTGAATTGGACCATACAAAGATACTGGAATTTGTTGATTGCTTCCCATATTGATTAGTCTTTCTGTGCTTCCCTTTTTTGACTAATGACAGGTTTCGGCAGCTGGGTATGACAGACAGGGAGTGGCTGATCATGCAAATAATCTTGCAACCAAAATTCGTAATAATTTAACTAATTCAATGAAGGCTCTTGGAGTGGATATACTAACGGGCGTTGGTACAATTCTGGTAAGCCATATACATTATCATGTAGAATTCATGGCGCATAAACAGAAATTCTTGTAGTTAGTTCAAATATACATCAGTTGTGTGACAAAATTTAGCTGTTCCAAACATGTCTATCTAGTAATTCCAATAGTGTGTAAAGTATGAGACTTCTATTCTTACATTCTCACATTCTTATAACTATCTAATGTTTCGGATGCTCTTTATGATAAAATTCAGGGCCCACACAAAGTCAAAGTTGGATCATCTAATGTCGTAACTGCGAAAGACGTAATAATTGCAACTGGTTCTGTTCCTTTCGTTCCCAAGGGCATTGAAGTTGATGGTATGTAAACAATGAATACACACACACACGCACACACATTATAAAATCCACAATGCAATAATGGGTTTAAGATGTTTAATACAACTGATGGAGTGTTTTCATTACTTTGCTTGTGTCAAAGATGTTTGAAGAACTTGTACATATTAAAACCTGCTTTTCAATTCATGAAATTTAGAAGCGGCACATTTTTTGTCAGATGTGAATAGTCAGAATTCATTCAAATGAAAACTATCCGAAAGATTTGAGAACTTTGTTTTTGGAATTTAAAGCATTCATTTTGAATATAGAATATGGTAGTACATTGTTAGCTAAGTTCAGGAGAAGTAGTGAAGTTCAGGAGAACTAGTGACGAACGCTGAACGGAATGTCAATTGAACTTTTTTTTCCTTGTACTATCCTGGAGTTATATATCAGCCTACCTCTACCGTTCCCTATAATTGAAGCTTCTGTCAGGACTCGTACTTCATTTTCTAATTTAATGGGAGCTTTGGAATTTTAATGTAAGAAAAATAAAAAAAAAATAACCTGCAGGGAAAACTGTAATTACCAGTGACCACGCTCTCAAATTGGAATTTGTTCCGGATTGGATCGCCATTATAGGAAGTGGCTACATTGGTCTCGAGTTCAGTGATGTATATACTGCACTTGGAAGTGAGGTAGTCTCTCTCTCTGTCTTGAACTATTTAGAATATTACGTGTGAATGAAATGAATGACCCTTCCTTCTAAAGCTGAAAAAATTTGTCGTGACTGTAAAAATTTAATATTAGTGACCACATTGCTTTTCCCCTGTTAGAAGGCAACCATATTAATGCCAAAATATTTTTCAGGTTACCTTTGTTGAAGCTCTAGATCAGCTTATGCCTGGATTTGATCCCGAGATTGGGAAGTTGGCCCAGAGAGTTCTGATAAATCCAAGGAAAATCGACTATCACACTGGAGTGTTTGCATCCAAGGTAACCCATTCCTTAAATCTTAATAATACTTCAGTTATTCATGGTGACTGCTCGTAAACTCATTGTTGCTGTTTGCTTCTAGATTACTCCAGCAAAGGACGGGAAGCCAGTCACCATCGAACTCATTGATGCGAAGACTAAGGAGCCTAAAGAAACCTTGGAAGTAAGGCGTGCTTGTCTTATCAAATTACTAATGTCAGACTTTTGTCATCGGAATACGTCTTCACCTGCACCCTTGCACATTAAGCCTTATCACGGCATCTCTAAGAGCTTTTCACTTTATGTCTTACAGGTCGATGCAGCACTGATTGCAACTGGACGGGCTCCATTCACACAAGGTCTTGGCTTGGAGAATGTATGTCTTTTTGAAACTCTTGACTGCAGTCGAGACTGATTTGAATATTCCCCCAAAAGGCTAATGGCTTTACTTTACATTGCTTTTCTGCAGATCAATGTAGCAACACAACGTGGTTTTATTCCTGTTGATGAGCGCATGAGAGTGATTGATGCAAATGGAAAATTGGTATGTGGTTAATTTTCCTTTTAAAAACATTTCCTTGTTTGACCATCATCATCAACTGTCACTGAAATGTTTTGAATACCAGGTTCCTCACATTTATTGCATTGGTGACGCAAACGGCAAGATGATGCTTGCTCATGCAGCAAGTGCTCAAGGCATATCAGGTAAGTGGTAGTAACCATCAATTCTTGCATCTTCTTATTGGACTATTTCCTCCTAATCACTCATTTCTTCTGTTTGTTAAGTGGTTGAACAAGTGACCGGAAGAGATCATGTGCTCAACCATTTGAGCATCCCTGCAGCTTGTTTTACTCATCCCGAAATCAGCATGGTTGGACTGACTGAGGTCCTACAAATTCTTCTTCTATCTTTTTAATGTTTGTTGTTGTAATACCCCGTAACAAGTTTCTTCTTAGAGAAAGGTGTTGGCTAAACATTTAATTTTACAGCCTCAAGCAAGGGAGAAAGCTGACAAAGAAGGATTTGAGATAAGTGTTGCCAAAACAAGTTTCAAGGCTAACACAAAGGCCCTAGCAGAAAATGAAGGAGAGGGACTTGCCAAGGTTAGTTAGTATTACGCTTTTTTCCATTACAAAGGCTCCCTTTGGTATGAGGGTTCAAACCAGGGTGATTTTGGTTTTGATTTGGGAACCAGAACCATGATTCATGGTTTTGGGTCCAATCATGGTTTTGGAATCAGAATCGGGGGGGGGGG